GGGGAATTTATGTTTTTGCTTTTTCTACACTCACAAATACAACTTTTGTCTATATCTACACCATACTTTCTTCCTACTTCACAGGTACCGATTTCTTCTGCTTCTTCTATACTTGGGTTTTTATAACCAGGCATTTCTGTTGATGATTTCGTTCAATCTGGAGTTAAATGTCATCATGATGATGTTCAACCTCCCGATTGGTTGAAACCATAACAGCTGCTTCTTATTAACTCACGACGCCATGTAACTGCATACAACATGCTTCAAGTTCGTGGTACTAACCTTGACGCAAATATTACTCGCACCCCAATTTTCAGCTAGCTAGTTTTGAAAAAAACTATGCGGGTTATATTTGAGTATATACGGTAATTAAACTAATTTGAAATAAACATGGCAGTAAAACAAATGTCATTTGGGTGACCAAAAGGTCATCCTCCAACTAATCTGTAAACTCCTGTAATTGTATAGTTGTGTAGTTAATGTATTGTCTGTTAGATTAAAGATCTTTATATAATAAATACAAAAAAAGAAAATTTAGAGTGATCATCATCGTCAGTATTGAGTATTAGGCTTCCTCATCTATGCTGCCTTAAAATTGTCCAGAGTATCTCTTCAAGCATTGTCAAACCATTTCGTCATTAAGAGACATTTGCTTTAATATCGTGCATAATAGTGGGAATTCTGATGAGGTATTGTTGACACAATTACACGAAATAAAAGATGTTATCTCAGTCAATTTGTTCGATGTGTTTAGAGAGTTGGCTTTATAGTTATCATCAGTCAACAAATATCAACAAAGTAAAAATCTAAGTTCAGTCTCTTTTCTTACCTCGTTGTTGTGGCAAAAGTTGGGCGACAGTGCCCAAAGGGAATGTGACACGAGGTTTTGTAGCTTTTGGGAGCTCGAGCGAGGGGTCAGAGGAGGTCTGTTTTTTGTCTTCTTGGAAAGATATCAGGAGGCGGGGGGTCAGTGTGTGAGGGAGGAGTGCATAAAATTATTAGCAGAGGGGACACAGGAAAATTAGTTTGTTCCTGTATCACAAGAAATTTTCCTGAGACCTTTCCAAGAAGACAAGAAACAGACCTCCTCCAACACCTCACTGGAGCTCCAAAAGCTATACAACTTTGTGTCGCATTCCCTCTGGGCACAGTCTCCTGACTTTTGCCACAACAACAAGGTGAGCAAAGTAGCTCAACTTATTTTTTCCACTTTTTGTAATATCATTTTCAATTTCATAATGTGTATTTCTTTATTGGTATTTAATGTTTTGTAATTTTAATTTCTATTGGTTTGTAATAATTATAATTTTAAATGTATATATTATTTGTATTAATTCCTCCACTTTGTCTTATTTTGTATTTACTTGATATGTTATTTCTTTTATATTTGTAGACTGATGATGACAGCAAAGCCGATTCTCTAAATAAACTGACTAACTTTACTGAGATGACATCTTTTATTTCATCATTTATAATATTGAAAAACACTGCAAAGGATATTTGCTAAAATTTGAAAATTGATATCCATAGTAATATTCCTTTTAGAAGAAAACATTAATCCTTGAATTTTTAGTATGTTAAAATTCAGTTAATACTACTCTGGCCTACACAATGTTTCTTGTGTAGAGGTTTGTGTCCCCTTCAATGGACTACTCAGAACAGTTTTTATTATTGTCACAAGTTAATATATTTTATAGGCCAATGCAAAATTAGTCAATCAGTCATGGCGGCAGAGACCCACCCCACCAGCTGTGCAAACAATCCAGAGGCAGCCACCACAGAGGACCCAAGTGCAACCTCAACTGCAGGTGTCGCAGCAGCAGCAGCAGCATGGGCAAATTCAGATGTTTCTCAACAAAGCCCCAAATTCTGTAGCCCAGCCTCAACAAAGTGAACAAATGGCACAGAAGCCACCTCAACCCAGTGGACCACTGCTTCCAAAATCCTCTCCCAATGAATTTCAGTTAATGTGGAATGAACTCCAAGGACTGGGGGTATGTTTTCTAATAATATAGAAATGACACAAAACAATTTGAACTTTGTGTATGTTATGGATGACAAATGATTTGCCTTACGATTTCATAGAAACCAGGATCTACTGGAGAAACTCCTAAAAGTGCGCCACCACCATCATCATCACAACAGGCAACTTCTCAGTTTCAGGTAAGTGGGACTGTTTTTTAGCTGTCAAGCTTCTGAATGTGTGGGAATTTTAATATTTCAGTTGTTAGACAAGTATAGAGAAATCCATTGAAACAACTGTCAGACTTGAACAAAGTTCACGATGGTGACTCTTAAAAACTGTCTGTGAATGAATTTGTGAAAGTTAATGATGGAGGTATCAATTTTGATTTAAGTAATCTTGTTCAAGGAAAATATGAAAATATTTGTTTAAACTCATTTATATTTAAAACCAGAATTGCAAAATATAGTATTTTATGGTCATTTTGTTATTTTAGGCTTTTAAAAGATTAGTGCAGTTAATCTTAAAATAGGATTTTATTTTAACCTTTGTGAATATAATTAATTTAAATTATTATTAATTGCAAATACATATTTGTGTTGAGATGAATGAGAAATTTTAATTGGGAAGACATGATCTTCAGTGCCATGATTGACTAATAGTCTCATTTTGTTTTTTCATCAAAAATATAATTTGCTTCATAGTTGTAAAGTCCGTAGGCAAGTAACAGGCAGATTTGTCAGTGTTTTAGGTTACACTGCTTATCTTGACAACAGTCAATAGCCAGAATTTATTTGTATTTTTTTGAACATTGTTTAAAACTGAATCTTTTTGGGCATTGAGGTTAGTTATTGAGTTATCCACAGTCCTGGCATTGATAACCTTTTTTAGAGAAAAAATATTTCCATTTGTCTATGCAGTACGTCATCCAAATATCTAAAACATTTATGCACTGCCAAAGCAAAAATTTTTTTTTGTATTTAAATATTGTTTTTAAAGAAATTATTAAATTTTCTCATTAAGAGTATTTTTACATATACAGTGAGCTCTATTTAATTTGGTACTAGATAATTTAGAGTATAAATGGTTTCCCATGAAATGTGTATTCAAAGTAATGTTCCAATTTAATTTGTGAGGTTGCAAAAGATCCGTTCAGTTTATTCAAAGTAAGGATTTTATAACCAAAAGAGGTTGTATTTAGAATTGTAAAGCTATGTTATGTGAATTATAATTTTATGTTTGTTAATAAATAGGAAACTTACAAAAAGTTTACTCTGATGTATTGAAAACAAAATTGATACATCATATAACTTATCAGTATTGATTAGATTTGTTTAAATATATAATATAATGCTATTCCTTCAATATTTCAAGTTAAATGATATGGAGAAAACGTCAAATGTTGCCAAAAGGGTAGTGTTTTTATTTTCAAGCCTTGGAAAAGAAAATGTGGATATCTTATTCCTACATTTAAAAAAATTATAGTTGAACTCTGTTTTTACGTTTCTCACTTATACGTTTTTCACGTTTAAACATGTATTGTTGTTGTTGTTGTTGTTGTTGTGGTTGTGTGTTTTTTGTTGGTCATGGGTAAATTCCTATAATTCCCATGCTAAATTATTTCAGTTATGAATTTTACTTTCATATGTTTTTCACACTTATATATTCATAAAAGACCCTTTCAGGCTGTATAACATTCAAATGATCCCAGTGAGGCACGGGGCAACCTGCACCGAGAGCCCGAAACTTGTATGTTAATCAAGTCAGCACACTCCAGAGTGCTTTCCGCTAATGAAACTTGTAATTTAGAAGTTCAATTCGGCCTAGCTGACTGACCAAGACCGTGGGGTGGTAGGGTAAAGTCGGCTCCCAAGCCTCCTCCAGGAGCGCAACATCGAATAATTTCAAAGTCAGGTGCGTACAGGACCTTTTTGAAGATCTTGAGCGACAGCTAGCACCAAGGGAAGGTCAAAGGCGACCCCAGGTGAGAGAAACGACATAGACGACCAATAAGTGAAGCTTGTGCACTGACTGTTACACTCTCTCCGAAGGTTCTTTTGCTCGCCATAATTATCATTGGAGATCCTTTCGGAAGCACCATAGCGCAAGCAGCTAATTAAATTGATCACTTTTCCGCGTGGCACAGTGGGTGTTGCCAGGCCGTTGCAGTCGTGAGCTTCCTGTCACCCACATAGAACACAGCGCTTTGACCCACGGAATCTCATGTAACATCAAGCTTGAAACCAAAGTCATCGGTAAGGTCCCCATTTGCTTGTCTGCAACCTCCACCTCAGGGTAGACTCCATCGATGATGATCTTGGGCCAATGATATTTTTTCCAAGCTGACCAGTGTTGGAATTTGTGGCTCTGAGGTCTATGTTTAAACCGTAGTATAGTTTGTCTTTTATCTGGTTTTGTGTCTGTGATATTAAACGAAAAAGAGTAGTAGAAAAAGACAACCCCTTTCAATATCAGATATTTTTTTTTAGTTGATAGGGAGAGTGGCAATAAAAAGATAGATGTTGCTAAAGAACTGGGAAAACGATGGTTTAAAAATATTGAGTCTTTATTTTGCTCATAATAATTGATTTTTGTAATGCATTTTTCTTGTGTATACAGTTTTCCCCTTCAGTCCCTTGAAAAACGTATAAGTGAAGTTTTACTGTACTTCCTCTAACACAACGCATAGTCAGAATCCATGTTTTGAGGGTTCTTGATACGAAGCCTCAAAAACCTTTTCAAAATTTTCTCATAGCTAGAAAGTTCATGTACAATTTTTCAACAATGTGAGTTGTTTTTGTGTAAATTTGCATGAACGATAGGCAGTTGTTAAACAATTTCTTCCTCAAAAACAGATCCAAATTGTTTCTTTCAATGTTCTCATATGTATCAAAGAATAGTATGACTAGTGGTGCTAGTCTCATTTTTGTTGAATTGAATTCCTGTATTTTCAAAATTTGAAAAAGTTAACATTGCAAAAGTAAAATATTAAAGACAGATTTTTTTGTTTTCAATGAAATCTGTTCTAAAAACTTATCTGGTCATGCACAATTTTTTGAAAAGAGTAGTTTTCGGGTTATTTCTGTCCGAAGTTAATGGAACTTGTCAAAAAAACAATCCATGGATAGATAAAAGGGACGCTTAAAATAATGACACTTCTAATTTTCTTTGAACCATATGAATTTTCGAAAATTTCATATTAACAAATATTACTACAAAGTATGTGCTGTGTTGCATCACTAGTTTTCTAGAAAGTAATGTGTTTTCAGTACTTCTCTCTGTTCCTTATTTTGCAACTCAGGTATCTTTTTTGGAGAGCATCTGTAAGCATTTGGAGAACAAGAGCATTGATGTTAGTTCCTGCGTCCACCTACTTGTTAAATTTTGTTTTGTGGTGTGTGTGTGTGGTGCGTGTGTGTTTTTCCTTATGTGTACCTATAAACCTATATCTATAATAATCATATTCACGGACAGAATAGTGGCATCCCTGTGAATCGGCTGGACAATTCTGTCCTATATTTTTTTAATGGAATAATAAAAAGGGAATTAAACAACTGGCATTGAATCATGTGAAATGCAACCTGAAAGTGAATCAAAATCATTGCAGAGCTTTTATTACACAATGCATTGTGCCGCGATCAATGATTTCCAGGCACCCTATAATTCAGCATTGTGAGACTATTAGCTTACAAAAAGGTTATACAAAATATTAGGAATGACAGGTTTACAGCCCTCACCTCTGTAATTAGCAAATTTTACGAAAAGTAATCTTAGAAACACGGTAAATTTCTTGAAATTAACAATATCCATAATACACCACAACAAGGTTTTAGGAAAAGTTTCTCCACAATAACTGCTGTTGTTGAATTCTTTCATTGAATTCTTGGAAATTTGGAACCAATCAGAAAAACCGCAGGCATGTTAATTGAGCTCTCAAAGGCATTTGATTGCCAAATTTTGCTAACCGAGCTAGACTTCTGGAATAAGGAGTCAAGTTAATAACCTTCATAATCATACCTCACAGGATGTAAGTAATGTACAGAAATTTTCTTTCGTTCTGGAAATACACTATTTCAAGTTATATCAAATTTTGGCAGTTACCACAGGAGTGCCGCTGAGATCAATGTTAAGACTGTTGCTATTTCTGACATATGTTAACGATGTGGAAACAGGATACTAAACTCCCATCATCTTGAGATTATCTTAATCAGTTGTGTATGTTTGGAAGTATGAATGGAATTGAAGAAGTATGTATTATGGTATATTAATACATTTTTCTATTTTTTTTCTGTTTGTGTTGACTGTATTTATATGTCTGTATGATTGCTTGATACTTATCTGTGTAGAAGTCCAATGGCTAAATAATAATAATAATAATAATAATAATAATAATAATAATAATAATAATAATAATAAAAAATTTCTCTGGAAGCCAAATGGTTCCAACGTCAGTAATGATGAAATGCTATCATTTTACCCGTTTGTCTCAAATTATAACCTAATTGCAACAATAACTTTGATTCAATTTGTTGTTGCATTAAGAGATAAAAGATGTATTTTATAACTACTAATTTATGTATTAGATGTAATAATAAAATAATGGTCTTAATCTGAAAAATAATTTTAATTCAAAAAAGGTCTAGTCTCAATTTTAGATCAGTTTTGGATGAGTGGAACTCTACTATACATATTACATTTCTGTTATGTGAGTCATGCTTATGAGGTATATTCTTTCGTTTTCTGAATTTATCTTTATCGCAGAACAGTTGGAAAGTTTGTAAAATTACAACTAAATTTGGATCCCAAATATTTGTGAATATCCATTGTCTACATTAACCAAGTGAACTGACAAAATTGCGAAAAGATATTGTGCAAAGCTCTTTAGTCTTATTTTGTTTCTTTTTTAAATAATAGCATATCCTATAATGAAATTAAAGAAGGATTTCATTACAGAAAATGAATTTTTTAAATGTAATTTATCCAGAGTGTATTTAGTTAGTGTTACATTTTCAAAGAACTTTATATTGATCAATGTGAATGGTGCTTTGTTTGCATGGTATTTTAATGGAAGGTGCTGGGATAAAACTGCATCATTGTTAGTGCTGAATGTTCTTTGAAAGAAACTTTTCTGGGAATTATATTCAATGGACATGCAGACTCAAGAGCATTGTTATGATTTTCTTATGTTTTTCTATTATTTTATCAGAAAATGGAGATTTAAGGAAATATCAGATTGAGAGCAAAAGTAAAGAAGATATTCAAGATCCAATAGAAATCTTTTGAAGTCATGAATTTACTTGGGAATCCTGCATGTCCAGTCTGAAGAAAAGCTTGAGGAGTAGTGGTGTCAATAGAATGTAATTGGGTTAGAATAGTGTGTGACATTTTCAATTGATGTTTTGGATTTTGAATTTAAAAATGGTTTTAAACTAAAATGTTGTTGTTTTGCCTAACATTTGGCTCTGCCTGTAATTGAAATGTTGGCTGTGCTCCTTACTCTTCCACTAATCAACCAGCCTAAAAACCACTGAAACGAATAGGATATTTATTCTCCAGGTGAATGATTCAGGCACTGAAATTCTCAAGAAAATGTTACGTATTACTGAAGTTCCTACAGAAAAACCTCAGCCTGTATCATCACAACAAACCATGAAACAAGTGTCTGTGCAAGAAATGTTTGAGGTGAGGTTTCCTTCCAAATACAGTGTCTGATGAAGCAAATGCACACTGTAGATGGTTGGTGACAAGATTTTAATTCATTTGAATGGTTTTAGTGGTAACACTTTAAGTTGTTGGTTCTTGGGCTTCTAAAGCTTTAACTGAATTTGTTAAAATGCAAATGAATTTAAGTTTGTTTGATTTTTGTTGAGAGATGCATGACTTAATGTTATATTGCATGGGCTGTGTTGAAGGTTGTTATGTTTTCTCTTATGGTGCTTTTATTGTTATTTTAATATTTTTCTCTCCATTTATGTGGATAATCACCCAAAGGGACTTCTTTAATTTTCTTGCATACCTTGTTTTATTCATGTAATAGACATGTTCATTGCTTGTGGTTTACATACAAATGGTTTTGTGTGTGTATCAAGATTAATATTTAAAGTACTAATTGTAGTTTCTGGGGTTGCTGACAAATAGTTTTCGTTGGGAAAAAGGCCTTATGCTGTGCATTTTATTTTCCTTTGAAACAGTGTTGTCAGGAATCTAAATCCAAAAATGCTGTGAAATTATGTAAAATGCTTGTTTGTGCATGTATTTATTTACCTGGATTAACAAAGAATGTTGCTTGTCATTGTGGTTGGTGCTCGTTTAGAACATCAAATTTCACCCTTGTAAATATTATTAGTGCATGATTCACTATAATTAGATAAATGCAGTGTTGATAATTATTAACAAATTTTATGACCATAATTAAGTTAAAATAATGCATATTGTGAAAATAAAAGCATGAAAACTTAAAACTACTGAAAATTTATACAATGTACATATTTTAAATTTCTATTAAACATATATGGTATTCATAAGTATCATTGTTTTTAAAAAAATCCAGAAGTAGTAAAACCATGTCTGTTCATTTAATTTGAAATAGCTGTCTATCTAAATTCCTGAAATTATTCAATTTATATTCTATTGTCTTGAAAAAACTTATTATATAATTCTGTTACTTGTTGTTAAATAAATGTTTGGGCTTGTGATACAAAGTTGCTTTTTTCCGTATTTTTAAGATACTGAAAAATATCAAAAGTTCGTTATTAATTAGGTGTTGTATCCAGAGAGATTTATTTTAAAGTAAATTTTAGTGTTAAAAAAGTGTGGAGTCTTACTATAATATTTTGTTTTATCACAGAATAAATAAATTGATGTTGTAAGCATATTTATATTCAGTAATTTGAAATACAATCTGATAAGTGTACGAAACCTAGAAGTATAATGTTTTTTTAATATTATTAGCCTTAATCTTCTTGGGTATTTGATTATTCAGTTGTACAGATATTCTCTAAAACAATAAACAACATCAAATATTGCTTTCTCTTTTATTCTGACAAGTTGATAATAAACAGTGACATATTTGCTTCATAACATTTTACACTATTACCAGAAAAATTTATATAAAGAATGAATGCTACCAATTTTCTCAGTTGCTAGGTAACAAGCACCCAATAGATATTCTGAATATTTTCATGGAATTTCAAATTAGTTTACTCATCCTGCATTGATGTTCATAAAATTAGCACTAATTTTTCAATTTGATTTTTTAATTTTTAAAAAATTTCAATTCATAGAGATATTTTATTAGTAGGAGCTTCAGAACATTTGCTCTTGTTACCCTGACAAAGAAATATGCTTATTATGGATTTGTACAAATTAACACTTATGATTTCTAGACTAGAAATCTGTTATATGTTTTCCCTATATTCCACTATATTATTCAATCCAGCACAATTGCATTTATTATTTGCTCTTATTCTGTACAATGCTTTGAATACAATTGGGTGATGGTTTTAAATGAATTAACCTTTATTTGGTATTCCTTGCTTAATATACAAAACTTAAATGTTTGCATAACTGAATTAACCTTCATGTTGTTAATTTTGTTGCACCAATTTATTTTCAGTTGATGCTGAAAAAGATTAGGTTTGGAAGATACTGCCATCAGTCTTCACTATTTTTGAAAGCCAAATCCTATTTGTATTTAAATTATGAATACTTTTAACATTTGTGTCCTTGGAGCTGTTTTGTAATAATTCATATCCACGAACACTGTATATGTTCCAGCATGCTCGAGCAAACGAATCAAAAAGTGCATCTTTTGAAGAAAATTCTTATACCATCCAATTGCTGAAAATGTTCCAGTTGCAAGGTATTTTAAAATATTAATTTTAAGAAATAATTTATAAAATGTTCATGATGATTTCCAAATATAGTTCTTAAAAATACAAAATTGGTTGGTAATCATTTAGGTGGTATTAATTAAACTTTATGATGATATTTGCTAATTGCCTACGAAAGATATGTCTTTAAAAATGGCCATCAAACTAAATCTTCAGATCATGAAAATTAATTTTTCAGGTCAACCCCTTCCAAGATATGCTTATACTGAGAAAGAAGATCGAAGTATAGTAGCTCAGGTTTTTCTTCCTAACACATGTTCTTTTACTGGATCCAGTGCTAGCTCTAAAGAACAGGTGTGTAATGGCTATTTTGTGTGTAAATAATTTCTTGTTTATTCAGGTTTTGAAAAACAAGTGTTTTCTGCTGCAGGCAGGAGAGAATGCTGCAAAAGTAGCTCTTTCCAAGCTGACGTCAGAGAGAAACACATTCCACGGAAATACAAATAATGTAAATAGTGTTGGCCTCAGTGGAGCAAGGCCACTGACTAATAACCTTCCCAGCCCACCACAGCAGTGGTGTTGGCCACAGAACCAACAACCAAGGTCGAACAGGTTTCATCAGCAGGACTTTCACCAAAACAAACAAGGTGAGCATTTTGTGTTTTACAACAATGCACCATTGTAGTGTCACCATCTGCAGGGAGAAAGTGGGTCCTCAACTCTGCAGCAGAGTTCAATGAAAAGTGTGAAACTGTGAAACACTGATCCAGGCTACCTCTATTGATTTTCCATGAACTCTTGAATGATGACCACAAATTACTCCAAACAATGCATGGCAGCTTTTGCTGTTCCCTGACAGCAGTGCACCATGATCTACACATGGATGGAAGACGTGATGTTTTACCATCACAAAACCGCTTGGATTCCATTCTCACAATTGCAGCAGGAGATGAAAGCCATTTTAGATTGTTGTTACCGAGGCACTGTGCCATCACAAATGGACTTTAGTCAAGCTCATATAGATCAGTCACTTTTCCCATTTTAATGCTGCTGATACTATTATCTCATACCCAATGATGCTGATGAATTGCTTGTAGCACATATCAGGTGTAACTCATGTTGCAGATGTGAAAACTGACCTCAGCTTGGGATGCTCGTAGTGCAATGTCTCATTGTTTTATTTTCTGCAAGTGTACAGTCAGTGGCACCCCCAAGGGAGATCTCATGGGGTTTCAGCCCCCTCCACCAAGAAGCTATTTATTATAATAAAAGTTGCTTTTACTAATTTTCTTTTCTGGTGAAAGTTATTCAATTCAGCATTTGTACATTATAATTACATTGCATTTGCTTTATAAATATTAACTATAAGTCAACAAATAAAAATGTCTGGGTGGGGGTGGGCGGGCGATCGTGGGTGGATGGGCATGTGTGTGCGCGTGCATGCGTGTGGGCGTGAGCATGCCGGGGCAGGTGCGTGTGTATTAAAACTTGATTATAATTTAAGTTAGAAATAACTGGTGATGTTGTTGTACCTAATAATAAGATAGAAATCAATTGTTGAGTGAAGGATGGATATGGTAAGACAATTTCTAACTAGCCATGTACTCACCGTCATGAATGATGCATTGGCGAGAGACTAATTGTGCCAATTTAATTGGTTTCTTGAATAATTATAGATAGGGTTTGAATATTTTGCTCATAATGTAACAAATTCAATCAATATATCACTGATAAAAAAATATTGCCATTGTAACAATGACATAATAATTTCTTTAATATATTTATCTATATCTTTTAACTTGATTTGTTAATATCTTAATGTTTTAGTATGCAACTTTGTTATTAGAGTTAGTTATTTATCAGCTGTGTATGACTGTGACTAACCCATAAACAAGATGAAATCTGAATACAGATGTAAATAAGTGTTTTTGCCGAGAATTGAGAAGAAAATATTGACTAAGCTTATATGCAAAATGAATTGCACTTGGTTTTGACAACGCTGCACTCGTAACAGTGCATTGCTCGCTTCTATATAATTTATTATGAATACTGTAACAGTCAAATTTATTCCTGTTTGCTTCATTTGTAAAAGTAATGGACAATTGCTGCTCCTGACTATCGAAATGAATGCAGATATGCCTCACAGGTGCTTTGTTTGATTTGGTTCAATTGAATATTTTCCAAAAATAGTTGAGGTGTTAGAAGTGCAGAAGCTGCAACATTTCAATATTACATGGCTGTTTCCAATATGAGAAGGTATGTGCTATTGTAGCTTCACTTGTTTTAACTTATGTGGCTTGACCAGACTGCACACAGGAACAATTCTACATCCTATTTGGCCTTGAATTTCTTCATGATTTCAGAGGAATTCACCTTAATTTTTAATTAAAATTTTAACGACTATTTTTTCACACATTGCAGAGTGGAGAGCGAGGAATGATCACGTTGGCTCATTTGGGAATACTACAAATTCATGGATGCGGCAGCAGCCTCAAGTTGCTGTCAGTCAGCAACAATATTCTCCGTATGTAGTACAGCAGGTAGGCCACCCTTTTTGACATGAGTATACTATATTTAATTCACAGATGTATTATAAGTTCAAGAATTACAAAATTAATTCAAAAAACCAGACATTCTGAAATGTAGCAATATTTCATAAGCCTTTCAGATTGCTATATCTCCTTTTTGTGTTGCATTTGTGACTAGGTTGCTGTAACATGATTTCTGTATCACAAATTTAATATCTTTATTTGTACACTTTCAACGTTGTTGAATATTAAAATAATTAGAGTTGACTCTGATTATAGTGAACTTCTAGAGACTAACATTTGTGGTTCACTATATCCAATGATGTTAAAATTAAAAAGAATTTGCCTTCAATGAATAATTTTATTAATATGGACATATACCAAAATACATTGACAGGGCCCACTGAAAATTTCATTATATTTTTTTATCTTAAAAAATTAATTATTTACTCTGTGCATTTTTCATTAGCAATATCTCTAAATCCTTGAGTTTGTGCTCTCTTCATACTTGATTCTGGATTCTCCAAGAATTTGTCTGTAGTGTCATAATGTAGTCTTGGCACCCTTCAATGCTCCTTGCACACTCCGAAGGCCCATTGACTCCCCTCATAACATACAATAGCCTTTGAGTGTTGCACAGGACATATTTCCTTCGTTCACTATTGGCGAGCTTCAGAGTTCACCACAAACCTACCTTCTTATGTTTATTTGTAATATAAGTGAAACAGGGCTGGCGACTTAGGTTTACTACAACCGATAGTTCACTATAACCAGAGTCGACTGCATAATTTTGTGTGTATGGGAAGGAATACAATTATCCTTGTATAGTAATCAAATAATGCCTTTGCCCATCACTCACAGTTTGACCAATTCCAGTCCACCAAAGAAGACAGTATCAGAACACTTGGTCTCTGAATGTGAAACCAATCATTTTTTTTGGCAAGATCCATCAGAATATCTTAGACGATTTCTCCTCCTCCTCCTCGTCCCCCCCCCCCCCCCCAAAAAAAAGAAACAACAACCTTTTTTGAACTTTTTAAGCAACTAAAACGTTTTTTGGGTGACTTACAGCAAGACTTGCTGTTACCAGGAAAAACAATGCAAGAATATGTTCAACATCTTGACTTGGAAACAAGAATTTTAGAATTAATTTTTGCGGTTAATGGCAAAGAAGCAATATGAATATACGTCTAATAAATTGGTTGATTTATGATATTATGAAATGTGTATTTCAAATAAAATGTATATAGATATTTCTCAAAAACAAGTTTGTGGCTTTCATAGAGCTATCATGACCATCAAGAGCCATTGACTTGACAGAAGAAGAAAACAGCCAATTTTTTATAGTTTTGTTAGTTATTGAACTAAAGATTTGTTGTTTCAAATATTTCAGAAGTTGTATGATGTTGGATATCTAATAATTTCAGTAACTTGTGATTTAGGGTCAACGACTTGCAATTCTGGAAAAGCCTCATAGTTTGTATTTAAAAAAACATGCTGACAAATTCCATTCAGCATCTCTGTAGTCCAAAGAAAAAGATTTTTATTATTGCAAATATTGCTCATTTATTAAAACTTGTGAGAAACCTATTGTTATATCACGTGTTTTGGATTGATGGATAAAAATCTTTTGAAGATGCCATGAACGGATGAGCTTGATCCAACGTTCAAATTTAAAAGAAATGACATAAATCTTTATGGAAGAGGAAGGTAGAAGGTTTCAACACCTCCACAATTTTATTTCATAAAATGGCAACTGCAATTGAATTTTGTGAGAAATATACATAATATTTGAAGCAACAGTGAAGGCAAGTTCTTATAGTATAGAAATATTAAATAAGTGGTTTTACTTACTTATTTTGACTGCAATTCTAGGGGGGAAAGATGTCAATGGTGTTGGATGGCTTTGGATACCCAGAAGTCAGTTATTACAGAAATGAATGTGTTGGCAGACAAAAATGACAGTTGGCTTGCAAACAAGATTGTTACCATTCCAGGAATGAATTTTATTATTTAGTTCATCACTAATGGGATTATTTGAGTGAGACTAGACTGTAGATTTTGCACGATTTCCTTTTTTATTTTTTTTATATAAAGATAATGAAATGCATAAAGAAATTAATTTCTTGTTTGGGATCAATATACAAATCTGTATAGTGCAGATTTATGATGATGGAGCATATATTTGCATATTTTTCTTCTTCTTCATGCTCTTATTCTTATTCCCCTTCCTCCTCTTCCACCTCTTCTTCCTCCTCTTCTTCTTCCTTCTCTTCCTCCTTTTCTTCTTCCTTCTCTTCCTCTTCTTCTTCCTCTTCTTCTTCCTCCTCTTCCTCCTTCCCCTCCTCCTCTTCTTCTTCCTCTTCGTCGTCCTCTTCTTCCACCTCTTCTTCCTCCTCCTATTCTTCTGCCTCTTCTTCTTCCTCCACCTCTTCTTCCACCTCCTCTTCTTCCTCCACCTCCTCTTCTTCCTCCACCTCCTCTTCTTCCTCCACCTCCTCTTCTTCCTCCTCCTTCTCTTCTTCTTCTTCCTCCTCCTCCTCTTCTTCAAGTCTCTTGCTAAACGAGGTGCCATACAGTAGACACCTTGACCTTTGGAGAACCAAGTTGCCTGCTTTGCCTTCAAACTCAGACGGTCAGAATTCAACATGGTTATATCAATAAGAACTTCCTCATGATGCATGCAGTACTCAGGAGAACGGCCTTTTGCATTGATTGAATATGCCAGTTCTTAAGGCCATGCGTTGCAGACAATGAAATCAGTGCAGAGATCAGTCCATTTGCAGAGATGACCACGGGCACTACTACAACTGATAATAATCGCCAGATGACGCTCATTCAATAGCCAAGGCCTGATATTTTCGCTACTTCCCTGCAATAGGCAACTATATTGCGTTCTAACAGGATAGCAATGTCGACAATAATCCCTTCCCGTGCGTCCTTATGAATCCATATTATGTCAGGTCTGTTCGCTTCGACCATGTGATCAGTGGTGACTCCTATATTCTACAAGAGCTTCCTCCGTTTCTTCTCAAAAACTGAATTCGGCTTGATTTGTAGTATGCGGCCTCTTTCTGTATCATCTCTGACTTTGCTGCTAAGGCTTGATGGACAACCACAGCAACGTCGTTGTGCCGACTCCGGCATTGTTTGTGTAAAAACAGAGCACCCACCTATTATCTGTTGGAGGGTTTTGCCGGGCTGATTGCAAAAGCGGCAGCGGTCCTCTACACTCATATCCCCAATTACATACCTTTGGTAATTACGAGTGGAGGTTACTTCGTCCTGTATAAAAATGACGAACCTTCTGTCTCAGCAAAGAGGCCAGATTTTGTTAGCCAAGAGACTGACGATCCCATATTCACGGTGTTCCCTTTGAGCTCAACAGGATGCTGCACAGGCTCTGCTGTGCAAACGCCTGTGGGTCCACACACTCAGCCTATCTTCTTTGGTGATACATTGTTTTTCAGAGTCCGTTTTATTCCAGTTCAGTGGGGTAAAATGCTTGTCTGTTGCACAAATTGCTTCATGCAATGACCGTCGTTTTCTGAAGGAAGTATTTGCGAAGATTGTTGATTTTCTTCGCGCACGAGAACTCGAAATCCAGAAGACCTCTACTTCCTTCTTTCTGAGGTAAGTGAAGTCTTGCTATTGAACTGTTGGGTTGGTGCATACGATACTTGATAAGAGTGGTCCTAACTTTCCGATTAAGCTCCTGCAGTGTTGTTGTCCAGTGAAGAACACCAAATGTGTAGACAGCACCAGGTACTGCCCAAGTTTTCCGTTTAAAAGAGTTTTGCAGATTTTTGAGATTCTTTCCAAGGTTTTTTTTTTGAATGTCACTCATCATCTTTGCTTCACTTGTGCTCAAAAGTTGGTGCAGACCTAAATATTTATAGGTATCCTCTTGCCCAAGTTCTTCGATATATGTACTACCCATCAAGATGAGTTTGTTAGGATCGAGAATTTGCCCCCTTTTCTCGTGCACTGCAGCGCATTTATCAATGACAAACTCTGGACATAGTATTTGGCAACATTGCTTTATAGGTTACTAGATAGCCGAATCTAGAAGGTTGTGTCAATCTTGTTTGCAATTTTGGCGGTTCTTTCAGGCGTATGAATAATATCGTGTTTCATCGACAGACTATCAACAGAAAAAAAATAATACATTTGGCATACGATATATGTACGACACTTACAGACGTGTTGCGGTGTCTTTTTTGACTTGACTACAACTCTGTCTACTATCAATAATTCTTGAAAGTTGCAACCTTGAACAACCTTTCTGCAACTATTTTGCTCTGGTGCCAGAAGATTGTTGGCCTTTAGAAGGGTGTTGAGCATACTGGCTAGCACATATGTAAGTCCTAGGATCGCTAGACTTGCTTATCATAAATGTAACTCCTTCAGCAAATGATGCCGAAGTGATGGATCGTTAAATGCGGCTTCAAACCACCTGGCCAGAAGCGAAGTTTCGTATCCCATCAGTCCCTGGCGCTTTCCAATTCTGCCTTTTCCTGACTGCATTGAAGATATCTCTGCGTAATATTTGGCTGGGCTACATCTGATGTATATCACAACCTCTTCTTCTGCTATCCAGTAAGCACCATCATCATGGGTATTGCGGATACTCCATATATTACTCCAATATTCTTTCATCTCGGAGTTTTAAGAACTGTTTCAGGCAACTTTCTTTGATCGTTGAGTTACCTGGAAAATTTCTTCTGGTCGCATGAATACAAACCATTCCGTCTTTGTTTCATTGCTTTATGATTTCTTTCACGGCACCCAAGGGTTTCGATGCACCGTTTAGATGCCCAAGTCGGTCTCGGAGCCTCTCGAAATTTGTCTGGGTTCTTCGAATTCTCTTATTTCGTCCAATTGCCTTCACTGCATTGAAGACCTTTCTAGTTGCATTCTCAGGAGCTCTAAAGAAGGCTGTCAGAGCCACTACCTTTCGTCGGAAGCTTTCAATCTTGTGTTCAATACGCCTCAACTTGGTGGGCTTAGCG